GGGGGGGGGGGGGGGGTCTCTGCATTCCAGTCCCCGCCTACTTTCCTCGTCAGCTGATATTTGAACATTGCAGTTTTTCCTACAGATCTGACTCAGGTCTAGCAGAGGGGAGGTGGAGGGATCTTATACAACTACCACTTGCACCAATCATTGCATCAAGGGTATGAGGATAAAGTCCCTTGACTGGCACACCACCTCACCGGTGACATTAAATAAAGCAAGCACTTGCACATGTAGTAACCAGATAAATCAAGATTATGCATGTCATAAATAACAAAATAATGCATAACATACCAGAATCGCTGCCACTGCTGCTGGAGCTGTTAGGTGGAGTGTCCAGGACAAGCATGGGTTCTGATGGAGCAACCTTGCTGGATTTGCTGGACTCCGTGAGGGGATACGGGAAGACCACAGAAGGGTCGATGCATTCTGATGCAGAGGTGCTCATATCCTGCAAATAACTTGCATTGAGTCGATTTGAGCTGCTGTCAGACATCAGTTCTTTCCTAGCAGCGTGCAGGGACGCTAGTCTCTCAGAAACCACTTTCTCCAAATTGGCGGCAGCGGAAAAGCCGCTCCACATGCAGTCCTGGATGATGATGGACTTGATGAAGGACTGGGAGTTGTCCGCGTCGCAGATGAAGCTCTGGTTGACCACGTCGTCTCCCAGGAACTCGCTTACCATCTCCAGCTGTTCGGCGGTGGAGAGCGACTGTCTCCGGCTGGGTGAGAGGGGCGGTGTGGGCAGCAGCTCGAATTTCTTCCATATGTCCTCGCTGGGAGCTGGAGGTTGAGTCTGTCCTTGCTGATGGTGATAGAAATCCTCATCGTCGTTGTCGAAATAGAAATAGGGCTGGATGGAGTCGTAGTCGTAATCGTAGTTTTTATACGCCAAACTCGCTATCACCGGCATTTTGACACTTGTGAACAAAATACAAATCGGAATTATTATAGTGCATATGCAACTAACTAAACATCACAACGCAACGCTTTACCTAAAATGCACATATTTACACTATGCATAAGATGCATGGGGGGGATAAAATAGCTAACGTTAAATAGTGGAACTACATGACAGCATGTGTAAAAACGGAGCGATTAAAGCGGGGTTACTATCAAAACATTTAAAAAAAATGTATTCTTTGAGCGTGCAACATGCAAACCGCCGTTAAAAAACAAAGATATTTGCACTCATATCACGCAAGTTGCCCTTTAAGTCTAAAAGACGCATGCAACATCAAATGCCGGATGGATCCTTACCGTGTATTTAACAAATGCAGCTTCAGAGTGATTTCTTTCGAGACACAATGCAATGAAAAGAGAACAAAAAATAAGGAACAAAAAGTAAAATCCAACAGTTTATTCCGGTCTCTTGCAGCATAAGTGGAATCAGAGTCCTGGTCAAATGGAAAGTGATGGAAAATGTAATCAACGCTGCGCTCGTGCACCCCTCAGATGCTGGACAGACTGATGTCTGTGTGTCAGTGGCAGGATGAATAAATTCTGTAGCTCCCGCGAGCTGAAGCGGCGCCCACTGATTTAAGACTACGCATCGAACGTTTCCCGCCAAACGAAAACACGGTTGTTTGCGAATTAAATTCCACCGCTAGGCTCCCACGTCAGAAATAAAAACACAACGACAACTATAATTAGTCTTTATTTACTTAGCAGACATGTTACATCTATTTCTGAATTCGATAAATGTGGAACTATTTTCTCGCGGAAGCAAATTTAGCGGAAGCCGGTGGGCAGGGATTTGACGTCACTTGAGCCATTTCTAGTCGAGCAGTGACAGCTCACTTTTTTTTGGGAAAAAGGATGAATTTTCATTCTAGTAAACAACGATACAACAAAATCAGATCTTTCCTATTAATTTCTGTCTTATTCTGTTTAAATAGGACAAAGATAAGCAAAATAGGTTGAAAGAAAACACCCATTTGTTGTTTTAAATAGCAATAATACATTGTTACTTGCTTTGAAGAAACCAAAGCAAAGCACTGAGCACTGTCTTGATGTCAAATTATATATCTTCTTATACCCTTTTTCATCTTATATTTTGTGTGCTGACTAGAAAGTGTTTCTAGAATTTGTATGACCGTGACAAAGCATATAAAAAGACTAGTGACAGCATTGATTGTAGAAACCATGTTCGTAGAAACCAACAAGTTTATAAGAATGCAGACATGTAGGCTATGGATTATGTTGTTGCAACAAAACAATAAAGAAATGTAACCATCATCAACTACCACCTCAGCTTGTCACAAAATGTAAATCATCCAGAGCAGTGTCTCTGAACCAGGGGCCCGGGATCCACTAGAGGGCCTCAGTAAGCATCCAAGGATGTTGCAACATGAATTACATTATTAGGTTATATTATAGGAATACCAAACAATCCATTACTGACATAGAAAATGTGTGTCCTTCTAGACAAAATGTTCAAAATCAATGCACTAGATACAGCATGTGAGTGAAATTTGTTTTGAATAAATGAAGTGACTGAAATAAAATAAAGTCAGTAATGGGAAATAACTGCTGGGTTTATGCCTAACAATTATGAAGTTAAATAATGCAAAGAATAAAAATGAAATGTAAGACTTTGGTGATTTCTAGGTTATACGTTCAGATTGATTTATGGTGCAAACATTTTACATAAATGATAAAGTAGGATTTTTTTTTTCTTCAGAAACCATTAAGTAACATGATCATTTAGGAAAAAATTACAGATGGGTTCACTTCTAACATCAGTGAAACTAAAATAATATAAAAGTTTTAGTTTGGTATTGTGATCTGTGAATAGAATTAACAGTTGGCTATGATCGGACTACTGAAGGTGCTTAGGATTTCAAAGACCCCACAACAGGACGGTTGGTATAATACGTTGGTATGTGCCGCCCTCTGCTGTCAACTACTATAATGAACACGGTGATCAACTTACTAACTAAATAAATAGCCTAAATAGTCTCCTTTATCTATATAGTAAAGGAGATCGTGTCAACGCAGCTTTACAGTGTTGAACAGGAAAATAATGTTGCAATGTTGCAAACAAAATTCAATTCTGCTGTAAAGCAGCTCTAAAAAGAGGATGATCATAAACAGTCAGTTTTTCAGTTAAAGTCAGTTCATTGTTGAGTCAGTTCAGTTTAATAACTGTGTCAAGTTCATCAATTATGGACTGAGTTCAATTCATCTATAAAGCAGCTGTGTAGAAAACAGTGATGTTGTTGTTATTCAGCTCAGTTTAGTTCTCATCCAATAGTGTCTGTGTAGTCTATAATATTACCAAATGTTAAGTAATATTAAGTCCAAATAAGCAGGCCAAAAGGCAACAGTCAGTGGCAAGGAACCCAAACTCCATCAGTGACAGAAATAGAGAAAAAAACAACCTTGGGAGAAACCAGGGCCAGGTCTTGTCTGGTTCCTGTGGTCTTTGCTGAGGATTTGTGCCAATGACCATCTAGTTGACAAATATATTAAATCTATAAATACTCTTTTTTTCCCTGAAATATTCAGTTCATCTTCATCGCTCAAAATTTGAAGGAATATTATCTGTAGGTATACCACTGATCCAATAACATGTTTGACAAAATAACCAAGGCATTTCAACAAAAACCTTTATTTTGTGAAAACACAGTGATCAAAATTAGAGAACAGTAACCACTTTAGCACGAAAGAAGATTACAACTTAAATGTTGGAGGGTTACAGTTGTCAGAAATTATTTGGAAATATATTTTGTGAAAACACAGTGATCAAAATTAGAGAACAGTAACCACTTTAGCACGAAAGAAGATTACAACTTAAATTTTGGAGGGTTACAGTTGTCAGAAATTATTTGGAAATATAGAGGCCCTTGCTTTGAATGACTTCAGCACATCTGTGGCCGCAAGGATTTTCCAGAGATTTTCAATTGGGTTCAGATCAGGACTCTGGCCTGGCCATTTCATTATTTCAATGTTCTTAGCTTCAAGGAACTGCTTTACCTGTTTTACAGTGTGATGGGGGCATTGTCTTGAATGAAAATTGCTGGCTGATTGGGAGAAGCTTGCAGGGAAGGAACTGCATGTTGCTGAAAGTAGTTCTGATAAACATTTGCATTCACCCTGCCATGTATCTGTATTAGCTGTATAAGAGGCCCAACTCCTGCTGCAGAAAACATCCCCCAAACCATGACACTTCCTCCTCCACATTTCACTGACTTCTTAACACACTTGGGCTTTGGTCTTTCCCCAGTTTGATGCCAAACAAAATGTTGACAAATATATTAAATCTATAAATACTCTTTTTTTCCCTGAAATATTCAGTTCATCTTCATCGCTCAAAATTTGAAGGAATATTATCTGTAGGTATACCACTGATCCAATAACATGTTTGACAAAATAACCAAGGCATTTCAACAAAAACCTTTATTTTGTGAAAACACAGTGATCAAAATTAGAGAACAGTAACCACTTTAGCACGAAAGAAGATTACAACTTAAATTTTGGAGGGTTACAGTTGTCAGAAATTATTTGGAAATATAGAGGCCCTTGCTTTGAATGACTTCAGCACATCTGTGGCCGCAGGACATCACTAGTTTCTCACACTGCGCTGGTGTGATTTTGGTCCACTCATCTTCCATAGTTTGGTAACTGTAGTGGGTTTCTTAGCCATAACTTTGTCGCCAGGGATTTTCCAGAGATTTTCAGTTGGGTTTAGATCAGGACTCTGAGCTGGCCATTTCATTATTTCAATATTCTTGGCTTCAAGGAACTGCTTTACCAATTTTGCAGTGTGACCCTGCTAAGTAGCTGTATAAGAGGCCCAACTCCTGCTGCAGAAAACATCCCCCAAACCATGACACTTCCTCCTCCACATTTCACTGACTTCTTAACACACTTGGGCTTTGGTCTTTCCCCAGTTTGATGCCAAACAAAATGTTTCCCATCAGACCCAAATAAATTAAACTTGCTTTCATCAAAGTGAACTTGGGGCCAGTTCTCCTCTCTCCACACAACATGCTCCTCAGCAAATGTGAGCCTAGCCTTTTGATTATTTCTGCTAATGAGAGGCTTGGTCACTGCAGAGTGCGCTTTCAGTCCAACTTCTCTTAAACGTGCTGAGACAGATCCATACCCTGTTCATCGCTGAACTGGCGAGCAATTCCACCTGCAGTGTTGAACCGATTCCCCCATTGAAAGTCTCTGCATTATTCTGTCCTCTTGTGCACTTGTCTAACATGGACAACCAGCCTTTTGGGGGGACTTGAATTAGTGTCATTGCAAAGCTGCAATATATGAAATCACAGATTTGGAATGACCAACTTCTCTTGCAATGACTGACAAAGTCATCCCTTTGGCCTTCATCTGGACCACCTCCTGTCGCAGGCTTTCAGTCACCTTAAAGCAGCCCGCAATCTTGCATTCTCAGTGAAAAATGGAAGAATGCTGCCAGTTAAATAGGGTTTGTCATATAATAAAGGAAATCAGCACCAGGTGCCAGATTAACACCAATAACTTGTTGGAGGTATCTGTAAGTTATTTTTCAAATATCTCATTTAAGTTTGTTATACTGTGCTTCAGAATTCAATTAAATTATGAAATATGCTTAAAAAACTGCCCTTCTACACCTGTTAGGATAACTTCAAATAGGACTAAGCAGTGACCTTGAAATTTAAGAAATTGTAAGTTGTTCTCTAATTTTGATCTCCACTATAATCTCCAATATGCTGGCTAATGCTAAACGTAAATTCAATAAGATTGTTATTCACGTCGGCACTAATGATGTTCAACTTCGCCAGTCGGAGATCACTAAAAATAACATTAAAGAGGTGTGTGAACTCCAGTGGTGGGCCATCAGGGCCAGCAAGGCCTTCTCTGCTGGCCTAAACAGAATCACTGACTTAAATTTAAAATATATTTTTTTCCTGGAATGTGTATTAAATTATTCCAATAGTCTATTCTCGTCATTTCATAGCTTTTCTCTTGGTTGCGCTGTTCCAGTAGTGTATGTTTATATTAGAGCTTTTATCCAAACATATTTCAGCAATCGTGTGTTGCCAGAGTCAAAGAAATCTGCCTTGGGACCTTCAGAATCAACAGTCCTGGCGCTCTAGAATCAATTTGTCTTAATTCCTCAGCATATCCAATAGCTCAGAAAAACTTGGTGTAACAGAAACTACTGACTCTCTTTTCTAGCACTTATGCTTAAAGAAGATTAAGGAAAACATTGTGGTATAACAAGCACATCTTCGCCCTAAAGGGAACGGCCCGGAAAATGGAGCACAGCTGGAAGAAAACAAAACTAGAGGTACTTAGTATTGCTTTGAGGGAAAGTACTTCTACATACAGAAAAGCCTTAAAAATGGCTAGATCTGCTTACTTTTCCTCTCTTTTAGAAGAAAACAAACACAACCCCAGGTATTTATTCAATACAGTGCTAAATTAACAACAAAAAAAAGAAAGCATCAGCATGCGCAGACATTTACCAACAGCACAGCAGTAATGACTTTATGAACTTCTTTACTTCCAAGATCGATACTATTAGAGATAAAATTATATCCATGCAGCTGTCAGCTACAGTATTGCATCAGCACTATAGATTCCCTGAGGAACTATTCCACTCGCATTCTCTGCTATAGGACAGGAAGAATTGTATAAACTTGTTAAATCATCTAAACCAACAACATGTATGTTAGACCCTATTCCATCTAAGTTACTAAAAGAGGTGCATCCAGAAGTCATAGATCCTCTTCTGAATATCATTAATTCATCATTGTCATTAGGATATGTCCCAAAAACCTTCAAACTGGCTGTTATTAAACCTTTCATTAAAAAAAAACAAAAAACACAACTTGATCCTGGAGAATTAGTTAATTACAGACCGATCTCAAATCTCCCTTTTCTGTCAAAGATAATAGAAAAGTTGGTCTCCTCAAAACTATGTTCTTTCTTAGAGAAAAATGGTCTTTGTGAGGATTTCCAGTCAGGATTCAGACCGTAGTACAGAGACTGCTCTCATCAGAGTTACAAATGACCTGCTCTTATCATCTGATCGTGGTTGTATCTCTCTATTAGTGCTACTGGATCTTAGTGCTGCGTTCCACACTATCGACCATAACATTCTTTTGAATAGACTAGAAAATTATGTTGGCATTTGTGGAATTGCATTGGCATGGTTCAACTCATACTTATCTGACCGTCATCAATTCACAGCAGTGAATGAAGAAGTGTCATATTGTTCACAAGTGCAGTATTGAGTACCACAAGGCTCAGTACAAGAACCGTTGCTTTTCACGCTTTACATGCTACCCTTGGGGGATATCATCAGCTTTCATTGTTATGCTGATGATACTCAGCTCTATATTTCTTTGCGGCCTGACAAAACATACCAATTTGCAAAACTAACAGAATGCATAGCTGATATAAAAAACTGGATGACTAGTAATTTCCTACTGCTAAATTCTGAAAAAAAACAAAACAACAGATGTGTTAATTATCAGACCAAAAACCCCTGTGTGTAAAAATCTAGAACACTGTCTAACACTTGATGGCTGTGCTGTTCATTCTTCCTCATCAGTTAGGAACCTAGGTGTGCTATTTGATAGCAACCTTTCCTTTGAAAGTCATGTTTCTAGCATTTGTAAAACCACATCTTTCATCTTAAAAATATATCTAAATTACAACCTATGCTCTCAATGTCAAATGCAGAAGCATCAATTCATTCGTTCATGACCTCAAAGTTAGATAATTGTAATGCTTTTATTGGGTGGTTGCTCTGCGCACTTGATAAACAAACTCCAGCTGGTCCAAAATGCAGCAGCTAGAGTTCTTACTAGAATCAGGAAGTATGACCATATTAGCCCGGTTCTGTCAACTCTGCACTGGCTCCCTATTAAACATTGTATACATTAAAATCTTGCTAATTACTTATAAAGCCTTGAATGGTTTAGCTCCTCAGTGTTTGAGCGAGCTCTTATCGCATTATAGTCCTTCACGTCTGCTGCGATCTCAAAATTCTAGCCATTTGATAATACATATCAAAATCAACTGTGGGCGGCAAAAACTTTTTACCATTTAGTGCCCAAACTGGAACAATCTACCTAGCATTGTTTGGGAGGCACACACACTCTGTCAGTTTAAATCTAGATTAAAGACCCATCTCTTTAACCTGGCATACACATAATACACGATCACTTTTCTATAATTCAGATCCGTTAAAAGATTGTTAGGCTGCATTAACTAGGTCAGCCAGAACCGGGAACACTTCCCATATCACCCGATGTACTTGTTTCATCGTAAGAAGAATGGCATCTACGCTCATATTAGTCTGTTTTATGCTTATTCTGAGGTCACCGTAGCCACCCAGATCCAGTCCATATCCAGATCCGATGGTCACTGCAGTCACCTGGATCTAGTATCATCCAGTCCAGATGGTGGATCAGCACCTAGAGATGACCTCTACAGCCCTGAATCTCAGCGGGGGCCATGTCAACTAGACGAAACCTAGAGACAGATCCCCTGTGAAGACCTCGTCGTCCATCGGCACAAGACCACGAGAACCAGACGAGTCCTCTGCTCAATCTGATGTGCGTTGCAGCCTGGAATTAAACCACACCATGCTGGTTTCATCTGGCCAGAGGAGAACTGGCCCCCCAACTAAGCCTCGTTTCTCCCAAGGTTTTTTTTCTCCATTTCTGTCTGTTTTGGTTCCTTGCCACTGTCGCCCTTGGCTTGCTTAGTTGGGGAGACAATTTCTGGAAACATTGTTGACTTGACTGCACAGACACTATTGGAGGAGAACTGAACTGAGCTGGATGATGACATCACTGAATCAACAATGAATTCACTTTAACTGATAAACTGACTGTTTTCTATTGTCCTCTTGCATTATCAGCACATGTTTTTCCTGTTTAACACTCTAAAGCTGCTTTGACACAATCTGTATTGTATAAAGTGCTATATAAATAAAAGTGGCTTGACTTGACACATCAGTTAATCCAGGGTTGTCAAACTCAATTCCTGGATCGAGGACCGGAGCACTGCAGAGTTTAAATTCAATCCTAATTAAACACACCTGGTCCAACTTTTTAGTAATATCAATGATTTAATGAGGCATACTCCTATTTAAGATACAGTGGCTTAATAACCATAGGCTACTTGCAAATGCTCCTGTAAAAAGGGCAATGCATACTGCATTAATTCACTTCTATGATCTAATCTTTCTCAGTGAAAACATTTACTGACGACCTTAATTAGAACACATCTAGGCTGTGTTTGCTTACACTGAAAATGTCAGGTTGATTTATAGTTTTCTATGAGTTGCCCCGGTCTGTCTCTCCACATAACATCCAGCAGATGGAAGCAGAGATTTAAAATAATACACACGTAACTTTCCATTGAAATTTATTAAACCATTTCCGTTGACACCTTATTCTAATAGCATTGCTCTATGACAAAGACAAACTGATGTTCCAAAAGAAACAATGAATCAATACTCATCATTCTTGGTACCACCCCAGTAGACTGACGCGAACAGCTGGAGAAGGGAGAAGGGTTTGATGTTGTGACGCCCCACGTGTGTTCTGCACGAGAATAAATAGCACACACGAGCGAGCACACACAGCCGAAAGCACTTCAGCCTGATAAGACACCAAAGTGCTGAATTTCAGCGGTTTCCTGCATCAACACTTCGTGCAGGGAGATTTAATTCGCGGGTGATTGACTTGATGATATAATTCGAAATGTCTGGATGACCTTCTTCATCGGAAGCGCTGGGAATGACAATGTCTCCAGTTTTTCCAGTTTTACTTCAGGCAGCTGGAAGCCGCAAACCATAAAGCGACTCGGCCGAATGCCTTAAATATTATTGTCATCATTTGTCATGATGGACTGTCTATCACGCAATGCGTACTGGCCTCTTATTCGCTTTCTGCTGCCGTTAGCCATTACTAATATAGCCATCGACTTCGGAGAACAGGTGAGATATGATGCCTTTGAACCTGAACACGCTTTTTACGGCACGAACACCAGTGAAATGTTTGTAAATATACACGTTGGGCTTGTTTAGATGCATGAATGTCAGGTTGAGTCCAGTAATGCTGTGCTAGTATTGATCATGCATCTTAGGGTGGCGTGGCGTAGTGGTGAGCTAGTAATCTAAAGGTTTTAGGTTCGAATCTTACCAGGTTTGATCCGTGACGTGCCCTTGTTCCCTCGAGGAAGGAAACTTTACAATGAAAGTAGATTTTCAAAGTTGAACTGTGTTGGTTGTTTTGTTATGTTTTGTTGTTTTTGTATGTTACCTTGCACATTTGTATTATTTCGTGAATTGTTTTGTCCTTGATAATTTAGCTGAAAAGCTTACAATCTAGAATTCTGACAATCTACAATTTTCCTGAATGCAACTGGTTTCAAGTCTATTGGTCTTTTCCCCTGCCACTAATAGTGGAGAAGTTCAACAGTTAAAGGGGTCATATGATGCTGCTATAAAGAACATGATTTTGTGTATTTGGTGTAATGAAATGTGTTTATGCGGTTTAAAGTAAAAAAAACACATTATTTTCCACATACTGTACATTATTGTTTCTCCTCTATGCCCCGCCTTTTTGAAACGCGTCGATTTTTACAAAGCTCATCGGTCTGAAAAGCGAGGTGTGCTGTGATTGGCCAGCTATCCAGTGCGTTATGATTGGCCGAATACCTCAAGCGTGAGACGGAAATGTTATGCCGCTCACCATACTGTTGATGCCGTGTCCCGGCCGGAGCGACTACAGTGAGACTAAAAGTTACGCCTCCTTTCTTTGCGTGAACATTTGGGCGGCGTTATGCAAATCTTCCCACATAGTGAGGTAGATATGTGGGGGCGTGTTAGAACGAGCCGTTTTAGGTAGGTGTGGCTGACTCTGAACTTTTATAAAGAATATCTCTTTGGATTTGAGACTTTAGTCTTTGCAACTTTACAGGTCTTCTTTATGCACCAAGAGCTTGTAACACTCCAAAGAGAAAGGAAAAATTGAAATCGCATCATATGACCCCTTTAAGGTTTTTTTTGTTTTTTGTTTTTTTTGCAGATTTTAAGGTATGTATCTGAATTGACTTAAAAACCTCCCCGGAGAAATATGAACTTGTTTAAAAGTGTGACAGCTAGCCCAGGCCTCCCCTAAGTGTAAGTTGCTTTGAAACATCAGCCAAATTATTAACCAAATTAACAACTTGTTGTCCAGATGCCTTTTGTCAGGCATCACTGCAAATAAAACTATGTTCTATCTCTGGCACTTACTGCATGGATAACCATTTGCTTTAAATTATTGATTGAATTTCCCAGAATGCAATGGGTTTTAAGTCATTTCTCGAGGATGTCATTTCTCTGTGTATGAGTATTCCCTTTGCATAACATGCTACCAAGACTGCCACTCTTTCTTAAAGTAAGAGGAAACTTCAAAATACATCTGCTTAGAATAAAAACCAATTACATATACATATAAGTGAAATATGGGGTCAATACCTACTTTTATCTTTAAGGGGAGTGTTTTTTACATGCATTGATTCCAAAGGTAAAATTCAGGTAGCAACAAATACATAGTGCACAAAAAGTATACATGCATAGATATACGCACATACAAACTTGCTTACATACATACATACATACATTATGCGTAATCTTTACCCATTTCATACTACAGTTAACCCTGTGATAACATATTTTTGAACCTGTTGTTAGGTCCATAAATGGCACAAACTGTCCTTGTACAATGTCACTACTGTTAAACCACCATGAAAATATGTGGAAAGGCATGTTAGGAGCTCTGTTATGTCTTTGTTGTTTGAATATATATGCCACAACTAGATGCCTTTACACTCGTCATACAGTAATTCACAGTGGGCCATATTTAACTGAAAGATTCAGTGTGAAGATAATCTCTGGAATTTGTAAGGATGGCCTGGGCATTCAGCATTAGAGGATATTATTTTTTATGCAATCAGGATGTTCTGCAGACATACACTGAATGGATAGTAATCAAAGGATGGTTCATCAAGTTCATTTCGGTGCAAAGCTCAACCAAGTTGGGTTTGATAAATAGTTTCAGGCAATATTTATTTTTGCTCTTTCAGTCTGTGGTACACATTGAAGTTTAACATGTGTCTAGGTTTGTGTCCTTTAGTGTTAGCAAAGTTAGCAAAGTCTTATTAAGTACCGGTGTGTGTGCATTTGAGCGAGGAGTAGACGGGGTAAGGATTAGTCTTATGTAACTAACGTGTGAGTGTATTTATAGCAGCACTCATCTCTTTTGTTTCTCCTTTTCTTGCTCTGCTATAGGCAGCTACACAGATAAAACTGGAGAGAAACTGGAGTTTTCCATATAGTCTGTACAAGTTGAGTTTTTATATATACACTGCTCAAAAAAATGAAGGGAACACTTAAGTCACACATTGAATCTCGATAAACAAAGTAATCAAGTTGAAAATATTTACTTGTACACATTGTGTAATTTGTTGATAACAAAATTGTGACAATAGTCAGTGGAAGCCAAAATCATCAACCCATTGAGGGCTGGATTCAAAATCACACTGAAAATCAAAGTAAAAAGTTACAGACTGATCCAACTTGCATGAATTGCATCATGGCAACTCGTAATGTAAGTGTGTAGTGTTTATGGCCCCCATGTGTCTGTATGCACGAATGTCTGTGCATGCTCCTGATGAGATAGTGGATTGTTTCCTGCAGGATCTCCTGCCAGACATGGATCAGGGCATCACTAAGCTCCTGGACAGTCTGTGGTGCTAATTAGCGGATTTGGATGCTCCAATACATAACATCCCAGAGGTTCTCAATTGGATTCAGGTCTGGGGAATGTGAGGGTCTGTCAATGCCTTCGTCATCCAGGAGCTGCCTACACACCCTTGCCACATCAGGGCCACGTAAGATCTGACAGTTTGGTCAAAAACATGCACACAGCTGGAGGTCATTTCAGAGGGCTCTGGCTGTGCTCCTTCTGTTTCTTCTTGCACAAAGGAGCAGATACTGGTTCGCAGTGGCGTAACTTTGCTTTGAAAAGTGGTGGGGACACCGCGCAACTCGTTTTGCTAGTTTTTTATTTAATAACCTAATTTACTTGGGGACTGGGTTTAGAGTTAGACAAACTTAATTTTGGCTTTTCAAAAATACATCGATGTAGCAGGAGCGGCGCCAGAGAATTTTGAATGCAGGTGCTGAGGGGGTGCTAGATCATTGACAGAGGGAGCTGGGCAATTCAGGGCTCCAGACTCATTCTTCCCACTGGTCGCTCTT